TTGTGCTGAGTCAGCACTTTCTTCTTTGTTGTTGAAAAGGGGTACACTGTTGTGTGATGGAAGGCAGACGCACAGACACGCACAGACACGCACAAGCATGCACATGCACGCACACGCAGGGGCGAACGGCTTGATGGAGCAGTGCTCTGCGTGGAGGAACGAAAGGGAAGGGGGGTACCAACTGCTGTGCTGCTTGCGACCGGGACAAAAGCACGACAAGTGCACGGCAAGCCAGCCAGCAAGCAGGCAGTGAACAGCCACAAACAGGTCTCCTTCTTGGCCCGTTTGCATACACATGTGTGACACGCGCCACAAACACTGTCAGCCCACCGTCTGGCAACAGCATCCAAGATGCACTCGGCAAGGGCACTGGCAACTTGCGATTGGTGATTGTGGCGTCGTCGCCAGCAACGGCCTCAGCTACAGCATCCCTCCCTTTGATGCAACTCCCACCACCTCTGTGCTCATCATCAGCCCATCATCAACAACAGCAGCAGCAGTGACAGCAGCAGTGACAGCAACAGTGGATGACACGACCACCATCAACAGTCTGCAAGCCATGTGGGCACTGCAGGCGGCGTGTGCTGTGGCTCACAGCACCCTCCTCTACGGATGTGACCACTGATCGCAGGACGAACACAGCAGACACAAGCACGCTTGGTGGGCTGCTACACGGCGGATGCAAGTGGATCAGCGGCGTGGCTGCGGACAATAGCCTTTTCCTGTCACGGCATTCCATGCAACTCGCCATCCATCCTCATCGTCGATTCAGCCGCAAATGCGGTGGCCACAACCATGCTGTCCGTTCCAGATGTGGTATGGTGGTGTGTGTTGGCTGGCAACGACCTGCTGTGTCGCATGCCCTGGCTCGTCCATCACCTGCTCCTCGTCAATCCACGATGCTGACACAGGTTGGTGTGTGATTGTGTGTTGGAACAAAAGTGCATATGGGGTTGGCACGCACCATGTGCGACTGCTGATGCTTACACGCTTCACCAATCCTGTCTATTCCATCTCATCACACCACTTCAGTGAATTCCACCACCGTGACGGCCTCGATGTGTCCATGCCACTCTTCTCCATGGTGACATTCATTCATTCACACCGGAGCGACGCTTTCCGCCCGCACACAGAAAGTACCTCGTCACCTTCAGGTATGTGCATGCATGCGTGCGTGTTGTGACGTGGTGCGATGTGAGGTTCGATGTTCACTGCTGCTGCTGCGAGTTTTGAGGGGTTGGTGTCGCTCACTGCACCACCGCTCGCGCTTCTTGTGTCGCTGCAATCTCACTCCAAACCTGTCATGGTGCCACTGCTTGACGTGTGTCTTCTTTCCCTGTTGTGCAGACGCACTACCAAGTCTGCTCATTCTCATGCCATGCTCAACCACCTCCCCAAGCTTCACAACGACAGGTGTGGTGTGCTGCGCTGTGATGTGTTGTGTGTTATCGTGTTCCGTGTGTGTCTCGTGCGTTGCCTCGGATTCAACTGGCGTTGGTGCTATGTGTGTATCTGTCTGGAACCACCTCACACATACACACACACACACACATCGTCTCTTTGTACGTTTGCTTGTGTATGCGCAGGGACATTGTGTTGGTGTGCGCCTGCCGGTGGTTTGGCGAAGAGCGCATGGGCCGAGAGGGGAAGGTTGGATATGACCCGTCGTGCAAGCAGGCAGAGGAAGAGTTCAACAAGTACACGTACACAGAGCTGGCGCTGGAGACCAAGTTTGGGCTCATCGTGGAAGGATTTGGCTACCACTCCTTCAGGTGTGTGTGTGCGTGTGCGTGTGTGTGTGTGTGTGTGTGTGTGTGTGTGTGTGTGTGTGTGTGTGTGTGTGTGTGTGTGTGTGTGTGTGTGTTGCAGACGATTTCGGTCCTGTTTGTGCTCTCACCCACCTTCCATCTCCTGTCACCCCCTTTCATGCCTCATAGATCATGGCTGCGGGTACCATCCCCGTCATTGTCGTCGATCACTACGTGCTGGTGCGTATGGATGAATGACACTTCGTGTGTGTGTGTGTGTGTGTGTGTGTGTGTGTGTGTGTGTGTGTGTGTGTGTGCGTGTGTGTGTGTGTGTGTTTGTGTGTGTGTGTGTGTGGGGAGATGTACCCCTCCCGTCGTTCATGGTGCTGTGACGTGATGTTCTGGTGTTTGCTTTTTACATGCTTGCAGCCCTACCAGGACCTGCTGGACTGGGAGACGTTCATCATCC